CGCCCAGGAGGAGGAGGAAGGAGCCAAAGCAAACACGGAGCCGGATCCAGCAGCGCTCCCGGGGCCCTCCAGCCGCCCACCACAGCCCTGCAGTGCCTGCTTTAATTAGAGGCTCCTCCAACGTCCTCCCCAGGCCCGGCAGCTTCAAAGCTGAGCCCTCCCGGGGGCAGCAGGGCGGGAGCTCCTGCCCCATCCCAAATCCTCGCAGGCTCGGGCTGTCTCGCCCCTGTTCAGACATTAAGGGAGTTTATTCCAGACCACAGGGGCACTCTCAGGGATTATCTGGCTTGGCAGCAGCGTCCAACACGCGCTGAGCTCGAGCCCTGAGCAGCGTTTGGCACACGGGGTGCTGTGGGATAAACAGGCACTGCTCCATCAGCATTCCCGACCCAGCACGGGATGATTCCCTGAACTAGCGGGGTTATTTGGAAATCTCCGCCCCTCCAGCCCTGGAAGGTGTTAGTCAGGGTGACACGGGGAGACACACGGGTGGAACCAAGTCTGGTTCTGTGGAAAACGGGAGAAGGAAGCAGGCTGGTCCCCGGGGGAAGGATCCTCCTCTCCTGCTCCAGCCTGGAGCGCCCCAAAGCAGTGCAGGAGGGATTAGGAGCAGGAAAAGCTCCGTCTCAAAGTCAAGCTCTTTCTAAGTCCGTTCTGTGAACTCAAGAGACCTTCCTGCTGCAAGCAGTTCCCCAAAACAATGTGCACCTGGGTAAGGAATTAGCAGCAGCTGGGGAGAAAAAAAAAAATCCAAGCAATTCGTGTTTCCAAGTATTTCATGTTTGCAGCAGCGCAGGATCACCTGCCTGTACTTTCCCAGCTTCCTGTTTATGGAAGGAGGCTGATGAATCAGCCGAGGGAGAGTTACCTCAGGGGACTTCTGGGAGAAGCACAGCCTGTATCCCTGTCCCCATCCCTGTCCCTGCAGCATCCCGGGGAACCCAGCCTGGCTGGAGGAAGGCCAGCGTGGAGAGAGTCTCACTCCGTGGCAGGAATTGCCAAATGAGTGTTTTTAAAGTCCTTGGCAAGGGGGCAGAAGTTTTGTTCCAACTGCTCTGCAGCTCCCCAGCACCCCAGTGGATGGATCCCTGTCTCCCTGATCCCACAGCAGGACCTGCACTGGGCTCAGGGCACCCTCAGCCCTGCTCTGGGGCTGCTCCCGGTGGGATCTGCACGGTGGCTCCTGTTCCCAGGGTGAACAATTAACCAGGCAGTCACTGGCACCCGCAGGCCATCGATGCACAGACCCGGCGTGGCTCCCCAGGGCGTCCAAAACAAACTTTGGAGATGTCACTCGGAGCGGGGCAGGACTGACCCGTGAGGTAAAGGAATTTGGAGAGCAGCACTGAGGGGGGTGTGATGCCAGCCAGGGGGACACCAGGACCGTCCTGGGTCCGGATGCAGCTCCGTAGTCCCTTTGCCCACCCTGGAGAACTCGGTGTTTGGGAAGGGACGGGGATGTGACTGGCTGTGTCTGCGGCTGGGCCTGGGCAGGAAGGGACAGTCGGGACACCCGGGTCTCCTGCACATCCTCCTGCCTGTGCTGGCACCTGACTGTGGAGGAATAACCCACACAGCCAGAGCTCCCTCCTGCCAGAGGGGCAAAGCCTGTGGAGTTTGGCCGGGACTCACCTCCCGCCACCGGCGCCGGGCCAGGGCCGAGCGTTCCCGTGACTCGGCAGAACGGCCCCGCTGAGTCACCAGCACACATCACTCAGCAAAAATAAACCCTCCTGCGCCTCTGCCAGAGCACCCTCTGCCTTCCCAGCTCAGCCATCCTCCCCTTCTCCCCGGCAGCGTTCCTGGGCTGCCCGGAACGTTCCCATTTTCGGGAACGGCT